CGGCGGGGCCGGGCCCGGGGCAGCGCCGCGGCCCTCACGCCCCCTCTCTTCGCAGGAGTCACCGGGGACGTGGCGCGCGAGGAGCCGCAGCTGATCGGCCTCGAGGGAGCCCTGCTCGGCTGGTGCGTGCGGCTGCCCCCGTTCGAGCCCCGGGCAAGGCAGGGACAGCCGGGCTTTTCCCGGCTCCCTGAACGCCAGGTCGTCTGCTCCCGTCTCCCTGTAAAGCAGACGTGCTGTGAATTAAAGCGGGCCCTCTTACATGCTGAAAGCGAGTAACTTCTGCTGCCCCGCTCTTAGCCCATCAGTCAGCGGCAGCTTTGGTAAACCTGGGGTGCTCGGAGGAGAAAAAAGTAAGTTATTACTGGAAATCTGAACGAAAAGCTACCTGCTTGCAAATTTGGTGAGAACTAGCAGAATGACTCTTGTGTTTGATTGCTCTTTAGAAGGTTATTTCACAAACCACGAAGTTTATTTTTTTTTTAAGAAAGATTTATGAATTTTTCTCTGTGTGAGACAGTAATCCATTTTATCAGGATTTTTTTTTTCATCTACCTATACATATAGAGGTTTGTGCACAGGCATGTTGTCCTTTTTTACTGGTTAAATCATATCTAGTATAGTTTAAACTCCTTGGTGGTGATGAGCCTTGTATGTTCTTCTCTGATTGCTATTTCAGTTATTACAAAAATTACTTCTTACACAACATCCCCAACTTCTCATGTTCCCCTTCTCTCTATGATTGTATATATACGAAGTAAAGTAAAATTACATGTTTTGTTTGCTGTCTGGTAAAATTGATGTCCTCTGATTAACTAGCAGTACCTATGGTTTTAAAAGCTTTCAATTAAATGTGTTGTTTTCCCTCTCTCCTTTCAGCACTTTCAATGCGTTATCCTGCCGTGCATGTGGCTTGACCGTGGGCTTCGTGCTGTACTCCGCTTTCAGCGACCTGGCTTATCTGCGAGGCTTCTTCTGCTTCTTCAAGGACAGCATCCTTTGGTGAGTACACTCTCCTGCTGCAGGACTTCACAAGAGTTTGCAAGGCACTAAAATAGAGTCTTTTACCTTTGAGTGTGTTGGTGCATGGGTTTTAATATTCATCCTTCTAAAATTGCTTGTATTGTCACAATTCCATTTGATTTGCATTGCACTTTTAATGGAGCCTCCTGTAATTTCACGAATTCAATTCAATTGTTTGCGGTTTGAAATCTACCTTCCTTACATTATTCAAGCAAATCTTGTTTTTTGCTTGAAAAACAGTTCCATGCTAGATTGAAGATTTGATAATAGAAGCTATAAATTACATTCAGTTGATAATGAGAAATCTTATGTATTTAAACTATTGATTAAAATATTTTCATATTTGACAGCACTTCTAGGGGTTGCCTTAAAATCATATTAAATAATCTGTTTAAACAATGAATGCAACCATCTTATTTAAAGTGTTCTTTTCTTGTCTTTCCTCTTTCCCTGCTTGTCTTCCAGTTACCTCTTAAAAAATAAAATGATAGTAGAAGCCTCTAAAGTAAAATTTCCTGCTTTGAGCCTCAAGGAAGATCTTGCAAAAGTAAGGTTTTCTACATGACTTTGTATGCCATGTTTTTCCACTCTATTCTTTTACGCTCCCTCAGAGCACATATTCCATCCTAAGTAAAACATAGTATAGCAGATGAGCATTTTTAGGTGTGCTTTAAAGCAAAGATGAAACAGTCTGTCCAGATCTTGTCAAAAAAATAAAATAAAAAAATCCTCTGGCTTCCCAAACTTGTAATGCATTAAATGGGGGGAAAAAAGTATGTGGTCATACCAAGCAGCTCTGGCAACTTACTGAAGTGGAAAATTTCCATGCATCTGCAAAAGGGATTGAGCTGCTACATGTTAATCTCATGTAACATAGGCCTCCAATGTGGGTGCTGATTTTAGCTACACTAAACAGCATACAGTATAGAAATATGCCATATTTCTCACGATACAATAGAGCCCAATGTCATTTTCCATCTTTGAAGTCAGCTGTTTCTAGCTTTCTAGCTACTGAAGGTGGAGTGTACATCTTTTAAGAACCTAATGTTACAACATTTTCCTGTTTTTCTTTTTTTCTTTTTTYTTTTTTTTTTCTTTTTCCTATCCTAGCTAAAAGAAAAGCTTGTGACAGTCCACATGCGCCTGGAATTGCTGATGAAGAAGCTGGAGGAACTGAACCAAAAGAGCAATGTGGCAGAAAAGCACAGCGCTGCATCAGATGCAGCTGGCTTCACAGCAGGATATGCAAAAGTCAAGAACAACAATTAATCTGTCATTTTAAAGACCTACTGGAGTTGTTCCTGCCTCTCTGCAGGGTTTGTTCATTATGATGAAATAATGCATCAGAAAGGGTCAGCATCTTAATCTGTCACTTATCTGTCGATAGAAAGAACTTAGGCTGAAGCGCTTCTCTTCAGCATAGGGGGAACATGTGCAAATCTTAACATCCTGAAGCTGTGGTGTGGAAAACAAATAGGTCACTATACAGCACAGCACTCTCTGAGGCAACAGAACTACTGCTGTGCTTCTCCTTAACAACTTTAGGGGAAAAGCTGCCGTCAAAAAGTTGAACTCAGGAGTTTTGCGGACTGTATAAAACATATCAGTAGGTTGATAAAGAAGAGGAACCATTATAAACTAAACCTTACAGAGGTCTAAAGTTTTGGTCTTTCGCATAGAATGTTTATGCCAGCCAGCTGTTGGTCAAGTGGCTGTTGGCTGCACCAGGTATGAGCAGAACTGCTAAACGGTGTCCTGACAGTCACTTCAAGCGTCTGCGTGTGGCCTGTGGCAGCGCGGGGCGCTCACGGAAGCGGCTGGGCGAGCCCAGTGCGCGGCCACGGAGGCACCTCGCTGCCTGCAGCACAGGGACTCACGTAGAGGTACCTGCCACATCTTCGGGCAGCCTCGGCTGCGCTGTGCTGAGCGCCATGGTTGTGCTGCGCTGCCTCCCTTTCTCTCTGCTCTGGCAGCCTCAGACTGTGGGCAGCTGCTTCCAACAGATTTGAGCCCATCTCTCTGAAACAGAAGCCATGAAGTTAAGGAAAGCCTCCTTCCCCTCTGCTCAGTCATGGGATCATGGGAACGTAGCGCTGCTGAAGCTGTGCTGGTCTAACTGCTGCCTTTCTTTGGCCAGCCAAGATGTTTCACAAAATATACCAGAAAGTCCCTCCCTCATCACCATTTCTGCAGGTTTTGCATAGGTTCGGTCTCCTCCAGCCACCTGGAAGCTCATCGAGTGGAGAGGAAAGAATTCTACTTGCTAATAGGACTGAACATTTTAGTCTTTAACTCCCATGAGTTGAACGATTAAGGGACCTTTTTCTCTCCCTCCCACTGCCTTAAAGTTTGATGTTTTAAATGTTCTATTAAGCTTAGTAATTGCCTGCAATAGGCTAGGGAGGAATACATTTTCTGCATTGACTTAATTCTGGTGATGTGATTTGCCCTTCCTGGCTTCTATTTCCATGTAGGAATGGCAGACTACTTCCCATAGCAAGGTGTGGTTGTTTTGATCAATTTGTAAAAATAACTCTTAAATTTGACTGGAGGGGAGGGAATGAAACTCACTGCAAGGCACCCCATGGGGTTTAAGTGAGCAGCTGGTACTTACACTACTGTTTATGTACAGCGTGTGCTGCTTTTTGGTTAATACTTCCTGGGTTCTCTCAAAGTTTGTTCTGATCGAGATATGACACAGTATCAACAGCTATCCTACTAGAAGAGGAGCAGGGCTCCTTCAGTTAAATTACAGTACTGTATGCTACCTGAATGACTATTATTGCTAGTTTTAGATCTTTGACAGGTGTGAGTGCAGAAATGCAGTGCTTTTCAATGACAGTTAAATTGAAGATATCAAAAGTAACTACTTGAAATAAACATTACACTCGCGTGAGACATTTCATTCCCTGAAATGATGTATGTTATCCTCTCAAAAAAGCTCTAGCACCCTTATCCTGGGAACTGCTCTTTTTAGAGTTGTCACTGTATATTCATGTAAGGCTGGAATTGCTGTATTTGATTACTTTCTTATTGAGAAGAAGGATTTTATTTTTTTAATAAAGATATGTTGTACAGCAACTTCTGCCCTATATTTAAGGGCCCAAGGGTATTTAACTGGGGTCTTGTGGCAAAACTAATTTTGTGCAAACATTCCCCCATCTCAGATGAGCACTTTCAACTGTATAATTTCACTTTTGTCTTACTTTTTAAGTGACAGTCTTTTTGTTGCACCATTCTAAGAAACGTAATTGATAATAGGGTTATTTGTTTCGCCCTTTCATTCTGATTCCTGCATTGGCTTTGTTTTTTACTACATACTTTACTCTCTGTAATGTGAGTAGTGGTAAAGGGTCTTGCTTCATCTTTAATATTCTAGATGCAAGAATCATATTCACTAAATTTAGTTAAGTGTCCTTAAGTGGAAAAAGCAGCTGTCAGTTAGTTGTGATTTTCACCTTTACTGATGTAAATAAGAAATTTAAGTAAAAAAAATATATACCTATTATACAGATCACATATACTACTATATGAGTCTTGAGTTGATTCCTTTTATTTAGATTGTTTGCAGCACAGTCCCTCAGTTTATGTTGTAGATACAGATATTGTCTTATTATGAAATAGAGCATTAATCATTAATACTTGACTTGTTTGGCATGATTTTAAGCATTTATTATGTGTTTTTTTTTTTTTTTAATAACAGCTGGCAAACTTTCTCACGTTAAAGAACATTTCACTAACCTTTGAAACTGGAAATACCTCAGGTCTTTTGAGTCTTCCATGTGTAGTTGTCCAACAGTGCACTTCCTCAGCACCAGCCTGATGTTCCTGTTGGCACTAACAGCAGGACAATGCTGAAACTGAATTCCTCCTTAACAAACCACCCTAATTTATGAAATGTACAGTAAATGCAATTCTATTCTCAATCATGTGAGGTGAACATTTACTGAACTACCATGTTATGGGTGCATTTTAAAATACATGCTGCTTAATCCTTTCCTGCTAAAGATTTGGCTTTGGATCCCCATCTGGCCCATTATTCATATTTCTCTTAAATTACAATTGGTCAGTGAATATTCATTTTCATAGTGGAGTCTCTAGTTAGGCAGTATGAGAGAGGTAGTCTTACTTTGCAAGTGCAGCCAAACCAATCTGACTCAGGAAGGGCAGATTCTACTTACATGAATGCCAGCTGCTTAAAAAGCAAGTGTTGAGGTCAGGCCACAGCTGTTTTTGTTGTCACGTTTGCAAACCTGCAGCTCTCTTTGGACTCCCCAAAGGCAGAGGCGAGTGGGCTGCTGAAGCATCAGTTCTGCTGCGTGTCCCTCAAGGGTCAGCGATGCAGAGCGGGTTTGGGTGCGTGCAGCAGGGCTGGGAGGCACCCACGAGGTCACTGTGCACTGCTGCTGTGCTACAGCCATTCTGAAAACTGCTCGGTAGCAACTACAGGGAAAGTTGTTCTTGCCTCTAGGCAGTGGCAATTCTGGCGAAATAAAATTGCCGAAACAATAAACACATGTGAAATGGTCTTTTTTTTTCCCCCCAGGGACTGTTTAGTCAGGTTTTTATACATGCAGAAGTTTTCTACTACCATCTAAAGCAATCCTTAAAGCTTTGATTTGGTAAGTTGCCCATCTTAATACGATTAAAGTGACAATCTTCCTTAGCTGCCTCCAGGAAGTTGAGAAAAGTCATCTACCTGAAGGGTCTTGGAACAGCTGGACTGAAAGCAGGTATCAAATGTTCGTTAGTCCAAACTGTTAAAACTTTGACAAAGTTATAGAAAGCAGCAACATGTCAGAAGCAGAACTTCTAGACCAGTAAAACTTCTAGTAGAACAGTTACTGTCTCCACAAAGATGCACTGTGTAGCAGCTCGGTTAATTTTTCTTTCGAACAAATGACACAACAAGTTTTTAGTGCATTCTCAGCCTGTGCTGCTTTATTGCTAAAAAAAAATTGTATACAGGTGCAGAGTTTCCGAGTTCATTTTTAAACAGTTCCTCTTTACAGTGTCAAAAGAATAAAGTCTTATCTTGAAATCCCCGAAGATGCATAGATATAAAAGCAAGCTGCCTTTTGGAAAAACTTCAGAATTCACAGGGAGACATTCTTTTACTGTTACCATGTAAAACGTGTGTGCAATGGGAATACATTGAGTTCATAGTGATACCAGTAACTTCCTCCACTCATCTATGTGAGCATGCCCTTGGAAGCCCCCTATAAGAAGCATTCTCTAGCTTGTTTTTAAGTATTAACCTAACTCAAGATTCTGCTACTTCTAATAATTCTTCTCTGCTGCTCCATCCTACTTTCAAAAAGGAGGAGAGCTTCCCTGAAGTACCTTATTCCCCTGGTCTTGTACTGAAGGGGATAAGCATTAAGAATGGATACAACTAAATTCACATGAAAGAATATATATTTTAACAGGGTTTAAGACCATGTGAAGCATTCTGTAGAATACCAGCTAGGTTTTAGGTGGCCATGATTAACCCACTAGGCTAAACTTGTTTTACAGTTCCCCTTTTTGCTTGAAGTTATCTCAAAGTATTCTTTTAATCTCGTTTCTGATACTACAAAGTAGTTATCTTTTCATACTCCTATCTTCTTTTGGCATTTTTTGGGTATCGCTAGGAAGAGCATGAGGAAAACACGGGCCCTGTTCTAAACCCAAACCATGGTGGCTGGTGTAGATGGTGTGAATGAGAGTTAACTTGACACACAATTTCTTCTTCTAAGACCTTACTCTTTCTATTCAAGAAAGAAGGCTGAGCCTCAAGTACACAGTCGTGTTTGCACAAGTTAAGCCCACCTATAAAATTAAACTAAGCTGTAAGTATGGAATCCGCAGTGGTCAAACTACTATCCTACTTGATTGAATACTTCCGACTAGGAAAAGCATTAGTGAGAGAGGCTATGCCACAGGTTCCATGATATTTTCGTACTGCCAGCTGAAATTCACTGCATCACCCACTAAAAGACTTGGGATATAATACAGAGCATACACTGAAGTTTACAGAAAGATGGCACCCAATTTCCCTTTTATTTAATAAGTGAAATAAAGAAAAAAACATTATACTGCAACCCGTGTTGCAAAGATAAAGACCTCCAGTGATCAAATCTCATTTTCTGTTTTTAAAAATCTCTTTGTCAAAGAACTTAAAAAATATACAAGATAACCAGTATTTTCAGGTTCATTCCTGCAGATGCCATTATTGCTGGCTGATACCAGTTTGCTTCAGTACAGCTGCCTGTGTGGCTAGAGAGTTACCTGAAAATACTGTCTATTAAAAAGCTATTCAACACCTGAAATATATGTACTGTGCTTATTGATTTCGGTCTTCTCCAAAAATAGTTTCTTTCACCACACCCAAGCCTTTTACTGTCTGGCAAATAACCACTGAATTTGAGTGTTTCTGTTACTGTGTTTTTTTGTATTTTTCCCCCCCACGAGTTGCTCCCCTCTGCACCTTGTGAGAAACTCTGCACCCTTTTCCTTGCTACAGCTGCAGCAGCTGAGACACCTCGTCTCGCCCCTAAACACGCCGAGTTCCTGCCCTGCTTGGTACATGCCCAGGGCCCTTATGTGAACCAGCCGAGAGGTTCTGAGGGCGAGTGCTGCTGAGGCTGGTTCCTGACTCGCCGTCTTGGTGCTTCTGTCCCTACCTGCACATTCTGCCCCCTCCTCCACGGGGGCAGCGCGCTCTCTAAAAACAAAATTTGAGAATCAAAGCAGGAAGTTCAAGCTATTGGTATATTAATTCCTATTGCTTCATTATGTATAAATGCATATATCAATTTACTGGTAATAACTACATTACACTAGACATTTTGAATCATGCATAATTAGAATACTAGCTCTAAGATCTGGTTTGTGGGCCTGTGCTACCTTCCTTCGATTCTCCACCAGTCCTTCCTTCTAAGGCTTCACAAAGTCGCCTTCTTTTACTGAACTTGCAAATCTGCTCATTTGGAAGGGAAGAAGAAAAGCAACCAGGATTTACATACTAGATAGTCAGTTACCTTTCATCTTTAAAAGCAGATGTTGTAAAATCTTAGAGAATCCGTGTTATGACCTGGTACATAGACTCAGTGTACAGAAACACACCCTTTTTCTAAAACTACTGCTCCGTAGAAAAGTGCAGAGTAAACTGAAAGAGTTCAGAAATCTGTGATCACACTGATGTGCACTCATCGATGAGACACCCTGGTTCCATTGCTGGCATTTGTGTGCTAGTCAAAGTGCTGCTGGGGCAAAATGCTGGATCACTCACCAGAAGAAATGCAAAGATACCTAACATAGGTACAGAGCCCTAACGAGCTCTACACCTGAACAGCAAGTGGGATTATTAGGTTTTGAAGGAAAATCAGAGAGTTTCTTAGGGAAGTGGGGAAGCAGGTATTTCAAAGATTTGTTGTTCATCAGAAACTGTTCTGCTCTTCCATATTCTTCTCTGCCCAGAAATCCACTGTGAGCTCTTGTCAATGTACTCCTTGCGTAAAGTATTAAGCGTCCTGGAGCCTGATAAAATTTCTTCTCACAGTATTTGGGAGTCTTTGCAAGATTTTTTTTTTCTGAATTTTTCCTGAATTAACAATTATCTTCATAAAAAGTTGTAAAATCTCAACATAACTACCGACTAGACCTTCTGCAGCAGCACCACTTGGAAAGAAACGGTGCATATGGGCATCATCTAAGTTCAGCACTGCAAAAAGAGGCATCACTTCAGTGGACACTACATGTTTGACACCCCACAGTGAACCACGGTAGCATCGGCCACTTCTGCCTAGTTTTAGGAGCACAGAAATCGAGGACTCGGGGGCCAAGTTGCACAATAATTCAGCAGCTGTAAGCAGTGGGATTTCTGCCGCTGCTGTGAAGAGTAATTTCTAGTTTAGCAGGCCATGGAGTACAGATCATTATAAAATCTGACCTGGGATGAATGAATGGACAGCTTGCCTGGCTACCCCAGTCTTATTTGTTTCCTTCCCTCCGCTTTCGCTAAATGAATAGAGCCTTGAAGAATTCTATTCAGACACAAAATTTATACTTCTCAAGTGTGAACATGACCTCGTTCTTATTATTATGCAAGTGTATTTGATAACCACTGACCAGAATCAATTTATAACTTACCTAATACTATCTAATAATTAAATAGAGGTTCCCTCTGGTCAGCTTCCAGTTTTATCAATAATCCAGTAGCTGAAATATAAGCCAATTACAACTTTCCAGATCAATTAGCTTTTCATATGCATATTACATATTAGCTAACAGCTAATTTAATCATCTTCACGTTTATCTTGGTTACTTTAGACTGCAGAAGTGCTCACAGCCCTCACAGTCTCATTACCAGCTCACAGAGAGCCAAAAGATTCTGCTGAAGTGATTTCAGAACTAAAAGTAGCCTCTCTTCAGCTAGAAGTTACTGTCAAAATACATCATCTTTTCAGAAGAAATCCAGAGGGAATCCAATACAAATCTCTCATTCAATGGCTTTGTTCACAATGATATTACATATTGGCCCTACTGATTCTACAGACTGCAAATCTACACTGAAAACAAAGTGATCAACACTATTTTTTTTAAGAGGCTACAGCTGGAGATCAATATCCCTTGTGCTACTAAAGGCTCCTCAGCACTCATCTCTCCAAAACTTCAGGCAACAGATATCTACCATCGTCTAAAACGGGGTGTTTAGCAAGTCCAAAGTTATATTTGCTGTCAAGTAGTATTTTTAGTATCCTACCATTCCATTTGGGAAATACAAATGTTCTGTGTGTCAAGTATTCTCTTACATGTTTGGGGTTTTTTTTTAACCAAAGAAAGAAAAAAAGCACTTCCTGCAACGAAATGCCTTCTAGAAATGGAACCAGGTGCTCTTCATCTTCACAGTTCAGTATGAGGAAGGGCTCAGTTCTACCTCAGAGAAACAGAGCAAGTGCTAAACTACCCAAAAAAAAAAAAAAAAAAAAAAAMCCACCAAGATAGGGTAACTTCACCCATACTTTCCGATAGAACTGCCTGCCATTCCCCAGCACACATTGATTCAGACACATAACAAAACTGATCAATGATTTTCATACCAGGTTCATTAACAAAGTATTCAAGTGCCAAGTTCCCTCCAACGAGAGGGACACTAAGAGGAACTCGCCCATCTTCTTCGGAAGAGACATTGTGCAACTCCCTGCAGCACAGAACACCACAAACTTATTTGGTTATTACCCACTTATTCTACTGTACAATCTTGCTAATGCAAGTTATTTACTATCACATGCAAAACAGTTATTGCTACTAAAGTTCTATTTTTTCTTATAAAATCATCTTATGGCTTTGTTTGCATCAGGGATTCTTCCCCCTACATACTGTGCTATTTTGCATTCCAGTTTCAGAGGTATTTTTCAATTGATTCTCCCAAGCACTAAACTACTTTATTCAATGGTACAGCTACACGGCTACTTTTGTTCAGAACTGAATCTAACTCCAACGACAGGTCCCCAGAACTCTACTGTAAATGGCCCACCTGTCCTGTTTTCTTGGAGATAGAGTAAGTGCAGAAGTTTTGCTTTGTTACATACATTAACTCTGCAAGTATTACAGGTTTTGCGCCCAAGTATATGCTGCGTAATTACTTTATACTTATATTAAAATTACAAAACCAAGCTACTCCTTCCCTCCCTCCCCCTAATGGCCATTTACAGGCAGGTCTCTGGAAAAAAAGATGCAGTATCCTCTCTAAGCTGACAGAGATTTTTGTTTTTCTAAAGAGAGAAATGGTTGAAAAGCAGCACTGTCACCAAACAAAACCCTTTTTTTTCTTTTTTTCACTCCTAGGAAATCAAGAGATGCCATCCACAGAACACTGCAAAATCTTAGGGATCACAACAGTCTCTTATTTGACCAGTCCAAGCTGCCCATTGAGTACTAAATCATTTGGACTTCCCATGGTCTAAACATTCCTACCAAAAAAGCAAAGGGAGAGACGAAAACTATTAAAATTGAGATTAGAGATGGAAAGCAAGTTATCCAAAACACAGAGTCACTTCTCAATAACACAGGAGTGGGGAATCTATGATACATAGGCTAGATACAGCCTACTGAACAGCTACACTCTGCAATATTGACTTTTAACAGTCCTTGATCTTATTATATTCTCCCATGTTAAAATGTGTGTAAAGGTAGAATCCACCAAAGGTGTTAAGAGATTCAACAGGATTCCAAAGAAAAAAATAAAAAAAAAAGTTCCCAAACTCCTCCAATAATAATGGATAAAAGATTTCTATATAAAACAGCAGATAATGTTCTGCAACAATTTGCAAGAGGATGAGACTTTTAACCTGTTATAACAATTATATAGCTGAATCTGAAATTTTGTTTTGATTTAATTAACAGGGTTTGTAAAGGATAATCTTAAAGTAACAGAGAGGTGTACAAAATGCACACTAACTCTTCATCATATTCATATTTTGAGTATATCATAGGATAGGTAATAATAAAATTGAAAATGCTGCTCATGGAATCACCTTCACTAAAGGCTTAAAAAACACACACAAAAAAAGACACCACTGGTAAAGCGATGAGAAGTCTGGACTGGATGCCTACGTACAACAGTTTACTATTGCAGTTGGACAAATGTACTAAAAACAAAAAGTCAACTATGATTCTACGAAGCCCATTAAGTGAATACATTCCATTTCTAAAGATAGCATTACCACTGCCAAAGGGAGGATACTGCATATTTAGACCATGTTTGTGATAGTTTTTTTTTACTGTATCCTTTCTATTAGTTAATTACATTATCACTGTTTATTAATAAATTTGTCACTCTGAAATTGTAAAAATACTACTAGGCTCATGCACTGATCCTAACATGGCACTACATTTTGCTACAAAGCACTAATGCTTATGGAACTATACACATCTCAAAATGGAAGACATTGGTGATTTTGTTGTTTTCAAACAACTTGTAACATTATTTTGTCCACAAGTATTAAAATATATATATGTATATATATATATGATCTATTGCACATGCCCCTTATTTTTTTAAATCTTTCATGGGGAAGATTTCCAACCAACACAGAGAAACAAAGTAGAGCAAGAAGAAAGAATGCTGAGGCAGCATTTCCTACCACGGCAGTTTTATATAGGAACTGGCTGGAAAGATACAGCAGGAGGGGTCTCTTGGGCATGCACTACTGGAGTACTATTTCTGTGAAAGTCAACATTTCTAGCAGGGCTAAAAATCTGTATGTTCTGAAATTAAATTTTAAAACTAACATTGTCACATCAACAGGGATAGGAGAAGTCAGGAAAAGCCAGCGGTTCTATTTCTTTGTTAAAAGGGGTTACAGAATGCTATTCCTATGGATGTGGCATCAAAGAGGTTAAGGTGTCTACTTTCTCATCGGAGTTTTATACATACTCACGGAGAAAACAAAAACACATTCCTGCCTCCCATGTCTCCAAACGGTACTAGAAAAAGCTGCCAGCTCCAGCGTCCAGAGGATAGCGAGCATAGAGAGAAGGAAGGAACAGAAATTCCTACATTTGGAAAAGATGTGTCTTACACCAGTTAACTTCCAACCTTGTATAATCCTATGATATTGACAGTATTTTCCATCACTTAAGAGACGGACCCTACTTCTACATACATCTACATTAAATCCCATTCATTTCAACACAAGGAGGACCTAAAAAGAAATGTGTTTCCAGTTGCCTCTAGAACAGTAAAATTCAGGTTGTATTCAAACTGCAAGGACATCCTACATTCTTAAAAGAAGTCAGGTCAAGTTTGTGGTTGCCTTGCCACAACTGACATGACTCTTACATAGCTCATCAAAACACTACCCAGCACATTAGAGCACCTCTGCTCATTACAGTTGGCTTTGTTTTGACATGCACTGTCTTGCCCATCATTTTGTAACTTATGAGCCTGATCTTTTCTTCAAGGAAACCAAAAAATTGATAAAACTCATAAATTCTTGTTACAAATACATCTAAATATGGATCTAACTGAATTCTATCATAAAGACCAGAATTCAAACTGTATTTGTCCTCACTCTACTATGGAACTTGTTCCCTATTAAATTTCCTACTTTTTAAGTATTAGAATGCTGCCCTTGCAACATATTGTTAAGAGTTATAAAAAGAATCAGCTGACGCTTTTTTTTTTTTTTCTTTTTTTTCTCTCCAGCCATTTTCAGGCTGCCTGGCTCCTTCCAGCAGTTTTCCAAAGGAAAAATAACCCCTCCCAAATGTCCCCCAGCCCTGTTACTACTTCCCCCAAGCCTTATTATTAACAGAATCTATATACTTTCATTTGATCCAGATTTGAAAATATTATTTTAAGCTAGTAAGTCATATTTTCTAAATTATGAGTTTGGAATAAGGTGCACTAAGAAGAGCTCCAAATTAAAGTGGAATAGAATATATATCCTATCTCTGTTCTGGCTCTTTTGCCAAGAAATCATACTTAATACAAACAATACCGCAGCAGGGAGCATGTGAGCATTATAAGCTCAGAATGACAGAAAACATCCCAAATAATCACAAATGATCAAGACAAAGAATGCTATGTAAACATAAAAAAAACAGACTGCTCCTTAGTTGGGGAACAAAATTCAGGAGGAAACAGAGAAAAAGCCCACCCTATGCATTTCTGCTCTCAACATGATTTTTAAGTGGCTAGGAGTTCATTCTTTCAGGTCTATTTCTCTCTGTGATGGGAACATACGTAGGTCATCTCAGTTCTCCATCAGCCACAGAAGAACTAAAAAGTCAATTCCATGAGCAATATGAAAAGCTGAAACTGTGCCAAGGAAGGTGAGTGATGAACTGGAGCTTTACACCTCTGGTCTCTTCCTTCACACCAGAGAATTCCTGTAGCAAATAAAGTTCTGTGCCATTCCTTTGATGGCAGAGTATTTTTGTTCTTTTTGCCGTTTAGGATTCTTAAAAATGGAGAGTGAATGATTTAACCTAAACCCAATCATTATCCTGTAACTCTAGAGGTCTTTAAAGCTTCATTTTCTTTGAAAAAAAAAAGTGCAGAGTAATTCCTCCTTCTCATCAAAGCTTATCATATCCACCAAGTATGTGGATTTACACATGCAAATACAGATTCTGATCACAGACTGCGATGATGCATTTACACACTATAGACAAGGTGGCTCTGCATTTGTTCCTTTGCATTGGCTGCTTTATGCAAGTTGACATCGGACATCCATCTACGAAGTCAAGCCTGGGTCCTGCACTAAAAAATGGCTGCTTGGAGTCCTCCCCAGGTAAGTTTCTTCTTCATTTCAGAATGCAAAGTATAGTCTGGTTTTCTTCTTGTAACTTCTCATACATATCAAGACAGCCTGGCACGGCAAAGCACACAAACACTTTATCTGATAGGAGCTCCAATACAACACAGTGAAAAATTTATCCCTCCTAAAATGAAAGGGGAGGTATTAGTGAAGAATGCTGGCTTCTCCATACATCTGATTACAAAGCATTTCTCATTTTAAAATGCAATACAGGAATCTGGATGAAAAGCTGGCACAGGAGACACTTTTTCAGAATAAGAAACACTCATTTCTGGTACTCTGCTTTTGAGTTTTTGTAAAATGGCGTGGTGCTTCTGTGGGAGAAGCCATCTGGTGACTCAAATGTTGGGTGAAATGGCGGCAACAGGAAGCAGAGAGGTCTTTGTTCATTCAGCTCCATGAAAATAAAGGACCGGCTTTCTCTTGCGAGAAGAGAAAGACCTGCATCTCACAGCCTAAGAGCAGTCACCAAGAAAAAGGAAGAGGACCACCTTCTCAAATGTCAAGAGAAGATCTGGAATCCCAAAACAAAACAAACAACAACAAGAAAAAAGGAAACATAGTTTAGAAAACAGAATAAAATATCAAACACCAAAATAACCATAAGCCACTTTCTTTAAAAGTTTGATTCCAACAAGCAAAACATGCTGGCTTCACAAACTTCAAGAATCCCTTGTTCTCTAAGATCTCAAATTTCAGTTGTTTGTAATCTGCCTAAGACAACACTATGGAAATGCTGAGTTAATTTATATGCTTACTCAGAAGTAATGCATGCAAAAAGATACAAATGTTAATTAGCTATGGGAGTCCTTAAGTGTGACTCTAGAGATAGCATGACAGTGTTGAGGTAGCACAAGCACAATACCGCTCACAGAGCTTATATTCTGCCTTAACAGGTCACAAGTCAAAGAGACGCTGTCAATTATCACAAAATTAGTTACAAAATTGTCAATACTCTACAAAAATTAAAAATACTTATGACAGTTGCAAAATCAGAGATTAGGCATTTTCTTTTACTCATTTCTCCCCACTTACTCACAACATAGACTTCATTAATTGTCATCATGTCACCGATCTAGCATTTCACCAGTGATAATCCTTTGGTATGAGCTAGAGTCCTGCACTACGGTGACTTTCCTTCTCTTCTTCTTGCTCTCACTCTCACACATACAAGAACATGGGCACAGCCAATGTTTTCTTCCCCTTTCCTCTCTTCTCCCTGATTTTTCTTTGCCTGTGTTCCTCAACTTACCCCTATTATTTTAACTCTATAATTGGTCAAGTTCTGAAATAATCTTCCAGAGACATTTGTCAGCTCCTATATTCTGAGTAGTGAGTAGATCTCACAGGGCACGTCACCATTTTTGATTTGAGGCACTCAAATACTTCAAGCTGATCAAAAAGTTGAGCATCCATACCCATACTGCTGGGAAAGTCTTTTTCGTGTTATGAAGCAGAGAAAACCAGAGGTCTGGAGAGCTGCAACAAAACATGCCAAAGATTTGATGCAAAGCTGAGAACAGAATCTAGCATTTCCTAAATTTATTACATATCTTAGCTACCTTTACTTGTTCATTGCACAAAAACTACAGCAAAACTCCTGAAGGTGACTGTCATCCTTTGAAAAGTTTAGATTTACTTTTTTATACTTGAGAACTCATATGTTGCCTACGTTACTGTTCTTCCTATGCTTCTGTTTAACAAATAAATTTTAGGATGGGAATTCTAAGCTAAATTTCTATAACTTAGTAACATGTGTCTAAGTTATAAAAGTGTCTTTTAGCAGTCAAAAATGACAGCATGCCTCAAGCATTTCATAACTTTAAAAGTTTTGATTCTTGATTAGAATGCAGTTAAATAAGGCTTTCTTTCCGAAGAAGCCCAACCCGAAAGCTGACACTGGTAGACTTCCAGTGCTGCGCTGAAAGTGTCCTACAAAAAGCTCTACAACTGGTTTAAGTAGTCAGAAATAAAGGAGGGGAGAGAGAACGACCCTAAAACTTGAGCACTTTAACATTTATCAATACCCTAGTGGCTTTACTCACCATTATTTGTCACCAGTTAACATTCTCTTCAGTGAACCTAGAAAGAGATGAACAAATTAGATTGAAGTTTGCAGCTAATAAACTATTCAGATTGTATAATACCTGCATAAGAGATATCAGATTAATCACATCTTTCAGAAATTAGTTCAGATTTTTAGACATATATAAGACCATGCTGATGTTACTTTAAAATGACCACAGATGATCTCTTCCTTTAATTTAGAAGCTGATCAAACAAGTCACACCTGCCACAGGAGATGCAGAACAGCCCTCTTTTACCAAGAACATTGTGGCGAGGGGAAAACACACTAGAAGAGCTTCTGTTCAAAAGTCATTTTGTTTCCATGAGCAAAACCATGCATGTCATTCCATCATTCCACAGAACATAGTCTACCATGTCATGAATTCCCTGCAGTCCTAGAATTTTGATTCTTAATTCACCATTAGCAGGCAGTAGCCCACACTCAACTGACTACACCTGGAGACTTACATATACATTGTGGCCCAAAGTATTTTTTAATTGAGCATATTTGTAAAATGACCAATTATTTTTATGATAGGCTATCACCAAGAGACACATGTTGCAGCTCCACAGGAACAGCTGAGCACAGGAAGGCTGGGGGCTCCATGAAGGGCGGGCACTCCAAGCCCACACAAACCCACTGCAGTGTGGAGGCAAAATACCTGCCCCGGAGGGCACAGAGCCCACGGACTGAGGGCCACACTGACTTGCTAGAGCAGGACTACCTCATTGTGCAAGGCTGGCACAATTAAAAGCTCCCGCTCTGCAGTACTCCTAGTTTCCATGTTCTTGCACCACAGAGCATTTTTGCAAGCAGTAGAGGGGCCCCCACTTCCACAAAACTGTTGTCAGCAGGCAATCCTCAATGCTGCATTTCAGGCTAGTTCTTTCATTCTTATGTTGTCACGTTAAACACAGTTTTTTAAGTTACTATGTGCAATCACAGTAAACACTAACTGCTCACAATTAGAACTCCTCCTGCTCAATTACCAATATTTTTAATATAATCAGTTTTTAGCTTTAGATGACCCAGGATATTTGAAATATCTTAACAGAAGGTCACTGCTGTAAAATGCCTCATACGTAATATGCCAGCAGCAAATCCGCTTCTTCCAAAGCCCAGTTTAAAGCCCCACTAAAAGAAGTTCTTACAAATGATATTAAAAAAAACAAGTCTTTTCACTATCAATGGTATGTCGAACAGTGCAATCTTCCCACACACTCAAGCCAAATCAACACCACGCTTTGCAAGGAGGCGGTGGGACAGGCCTATGAGCAGTTCCTGCTGCCAGGTACCGGGCAGGAGCAGCAGCGTGCTGCGCTGTGGCGCTCCCAGGCTGCTAAGGCTGTTACGAAACGCGCCGCGCACCCTTGGAATGCGCAGCACATTCCTGGGCAAGTTTTCCTCAGAAGCAGATACTGCTTTCAGAAGCCCTTGCTACAAACGCGCTTAACGTTTCTTTTGAACAAAAAAAGAAGCACAAAATAAAACAGGGGGCAAAGATTTCAGCGCGACCCTGATGCGCACGGGGCTAACCTGAAGGCGTCTTTGCGACCCCTCGCTCGCGTGCTTTGTTCCACGCAGGGTCCTTTCCACCTCGCTGTGGCGGCAGCCACGCGAGCCGCTGCGCCCGCGAGGCAGCGCCCGCGCCCCGCCGCTCTCCGCCGAGTTACTCCATGCCCGCCACGTCCCGCTCCCCGCCGCGCTCTGCGCAGCCGGGGCGGCACGGGGGAAGCGGCAGCGCCTCCTCGCCGCGGAGCGGAGCCGGCCGCGAGCAGAGGCGCGCGCGGAGCGAGGGCACCGGCCGCTGCCGCCCCTGCGGAGCCAGCTCCGGGGTCGCGCTCCGCTTCCCCGGCCGCCCACGCGCCCCGGCCACGCGCCGCAGCCGGGAAGGGGCTGAACTGCCCCGGCGCGGCCGCGGCGCTCCCGGGGCAGCGGCCGCCGGGCCGGGGGCGCGCGAAGGGGCCGGGCCCAGCCCACCGAGGGAGCGGCGAGGGGAGGCGGCGGCCGGGCCCAGCCCAATCAGGGAGCGGGGCAGCCGCGGCGGGCGCCGCCTCGCGCCGGGGCCGCCGCTGCCGCCCTCACCTGCGCGCGGCCGAGGCCGCCGGAGCGCGGCGGGCGCCGACCCCGCCGCCGCTTCCTCTCACTCCGCCATCTTCCTCTCCTCGCCGCGGCCACCCGGCCGGGCCTCAGCGCCCGGCGACGCCGGGCCCGCCCACCCGAGCGCGAGCCTATTGGGTGCCGCTCCTGTGCGAACGCCGTCCAGTCTCGGCGGTGATTGGCAGTCGGCGCTGTCCATCCGAGGGGCCTGCCGCCCGCCTCCCTCTTCATTGGCCCCGCGGAGGAGAGAGGCCTGGGACAGGATTGGCTGGAGCGGCGCGAGCAGGGCCGGCCTGGGCTCATCCTGCGCGGACCGCGGCGGCGAGTTAAAGGCGCCGCCCGCGGAGGGCGCCCGCGGCCGCACGGTGGGGCGAGGTGCCGCGCCGGGCGCTGCTCCTGGTCCGGCCCGGCCGCCTTCGCGCTCCGCCGGAGCGAGGAGCGCAAGCCCGAGCAGCGCGTGCCCGTTCCGGGGCTCCCTGGCCGCGCTTGCCCTTCCTATGCCCTCCGGGCGCCATGCAGCTGGCTGGGGGGTCGTTAACGGCCGGCCGGAGGACCGTTAACGGCCAACGACCGATAGCGGCCGCCGCCCCCCGCCCGGGGCAGGCCCTGCCTTGCGACCTGCATTTCAGGGTGCAGCAGCGCGGCAGCGGTTTCACACGCGGAGCCGGCTGCTGAAGGGGCTGCGTAGTGCGAGGGGGAAGGAGGAGTGCGCAGCCATTGAGGAGCGCCGGGAGGCACACCCCCGTGCAGCCGTGACTCACCGCACACAGCTACTACGGGCCCTCGCAGCTGAGAATGGATTTAAGGCACGCTCTTGCACCATGGACTGTCAGTCAAGTACTGTCAAGTCAGGCTGCCACACTGAATGAGGCATTTCAGCCAAACATTACATCCACGGGTTATTTGCAACCAAAGTTGTAATTTAAAACAATCAAAAGCATACCTTTAAAGAGGTATTTCATCCGAGAGTTACAGCAGCTATTTATTCTTCATTATTCAAATCATGTGTTCAGATTCTCTTATTTTGCCTAGACAGGATGCCAAGTTCTTCAGGTCAACCCATCTGCCCCCCCTGCTCCACACTGATTAGCTATTAATCCTCTTCCAGCTTTCTGTTGTCTTTACAGTATTCCAACAGCGAAAACTTTGCAACCACACATTTCTGCAGCCAGTCATTTCAGAGATCCTTACTGCAAGAAATGTGGGTCTGATGGTTTGAAAACAGAGTGGAAAATAGTTTAGCTCTTTTTAAAACCTATTACTCATGCTGCCTAAAAATAGATTAAAAAAAAAAAAAAAGCAGAAACATGCAATAGCTCTGCCTTTAAACTGATATTCTCATTTCCCTCCCAGATTGTAACCTTCACGCATCATGTTCATTGTCAAGCAGATTTAAAGATAACTTCTATAAAGAAGCAGCTACACTAAAAATAAAGCTTTTGTGGAGATTTGCTTACAGATCACAGAATGGCTGAGGTTGGAAGGGACCTCTAGAGATCTTCCTAGATCTAGTCCAACTCCCTGGGGGCTCCTGCAGGTTCCTGCAGGGTCCCATAGCACAGGGAACAGGGCCACATCCAGGCAGGTTTTGAATATGATCTTGAATCCACCATGAACTTAAGATTGTAGATGTGTAAAACATCTCTTACTGTCATACATGCCTAATATGTACGTTTCAGATAATCAAATATGATAACTCAGGTGCAGATGTCTATTAACAGCATCAGGAGCTGTTCAACTACTGCCTTGTGCTTCATATTTTCATCTAATTTTATCTTTACATGGCTAGTAATGGGCAAATTTTTGTGGTAGCTTTTCCTTCAGAAAGGCTACTAACAGTATTTATTAATCACATCTTTTTCACAAAACAGGTAAGAATTTAGCATCTTGACACATCTATCTTTCAAACTGGTGTAGCTCCCTTTTAAAAATACTGTGAACAGGCATAAACATATATGTTTTTCTGCAAGCTTGTATTTGCCCTTCTATAGCTTTTCATCTCATATCTCTAACAAGGTTAAATTCTGCTAGATTTCTTTTTCTTCCTGTTGTTGCACGCACATATTAATAGTATTTGGGTTAACCTTAAAGTACGTTAGCAAGAGCATCCTTCCATCCTTGTAAGACCCTAGCTCAGAAATCAGACTTCCTTTGTTAGCGATCTTTCAGAATAAGTGATTAAAATAATAGCAATAATAATAAGCAAATTGTAAGGCTCACTAATAGTGGTATCGTGGTATTTTAACTTCTCCAGCCATTAAAAGACAGTCAGTTAGACAGGAATAGTTTGAACTGTGGAGGGTTTATTTATGGATTAATGCAGTATCCAGTCTCACTGTGACAATAAGGCACAACTGTGGGTTACAACTATATAGCCAAAAAACTGAACAACACCTTTTAATAAGCAGATCACAATGCCTACAAAAACTTGTGTATTTCTAAAGTTAACATTGTTACATTCCTATTTTACATGACACGGTCATAAAACCAGAATGTTTTGTCTCATACAGAGTATGAGTTTTTAATTTACATTTCGTTCTGGACTTGTTATGCTGCAGTCTGCAAAACAACGAAGTGCAATATTTCATTTTACAATTCCTTAATTTAAAAGAAAACAAATCTCCTCCAGACACTTGCACATTATTCTTTACCACAGGTGAGGATTAAAGAACTGAGAAGAAAGGAAATGAATATTTGAGGGTACAGTTTGAGACTGGCAGGTGTTTATAGAAATGTTAACATGTGACACAGAGAAGCACTTATAACACTGATTCTTCAGTAAAGAATTTCTTGGTGTTTGTTTGGACCTCCCAAGAAAATAGGATGTTCCAGCTGAATAGGGCGAGATCATTTATCAGTTTAACTACAGAAAATTGACACTGCTGAGCCTTAAGGTTCACAGCCAGTTAAATTCAAGAGAGCAAAAATATTGAATATAATCAGCAAAATTATATTTATCATATTTACTGTATACTTACAAAGATATGGGTGTACAAATATTCTGAAATGCCAGTATTAAAGTTGGGATGTACTTGCCCAAAAGGTATTTTTCTCTCTGAGCTTTCATAAATACAGCTATCGCCCTCAACACAACACTAACAGACCAGGATTTCCACACTAAATAATACAAATTTTTATCTCGATTACTATACTTAAAATATCTATATATATATTAGTACAATGTTTTATGACACTATTACTGTGGGCAGTGACAGAACTACAAATCCAGATTTTGACACGACTAGTGTTTTTGCATTAAATATGCTGGTAAACAAGTTTACACCTTCAGAGGTGAAACCACCCTGATGGGAAGAGGGGTCCTGGAGTAAAGCAATCCGGACCAGGCATTCTGTGGTCCACTGGCTGTCAAGCCTGCAAGCCACTCAAAGGAAAGAAACAAACTTCTGCATCTGCTAACTAAACATTTAATGCAAGATTCACCTTTCCTTTCAGGATGCCACAGATTCCTATTTTTCCTGTGGATTGATCCCACAAGGAGTAAAATCTATTCACAGTACTTTAAATTATTCTGGACTATCATCATATATTCCACTGAATCCTAGTCGTACAGTAAAGCCACAGAAACTTGAGAGATTCTCAAGTAAAAGGCAGATTTAGAAGGAGAAAAAGATTGTGATGTAAAGAACAAACCGGAGAAGGTAGAAAAAAAAGGAAAAAAAAAGGCAGCTGCATCTAGTATTTGAGCAGATGCTGGTCTCCAGAAAGCATTTTGGAGAGTGCTTTTTTCCAATCAGATACAGAGCTCAGAAGAATCAGTTTGTAGATTAAACAACAGTATATAGGAAGAGACTTATTCCACTCATACAGTAACAGAGAAGGAGAAAGGGGAGAAGGGTAAAAACTGAAAATGGAAGGAAAAGGTTCTTTTTAAAAAATGTTCCTTTCCAAGTTGCACTGCAGCTTTTTCCCTTTGTTTCTGATGCATGGAGAATGTTCACATCGTTAAAACAAACCAGGGAGGGTTTGGAGATGTATTTCACATGCACCAGTAGCAATGGTCTGGGGAAAGGTGGCTGGGAGAAAATTAAGTTCTATTCCTTATATATTAGGGGTACAAAGGAATAGGTTCTCCATCCATCATCAGTGAAGAAATCGGATACTCATTTTCTGCTCTACATCCACCTTCTCCAAAACCTGCAATAAAATCCAGAAACAGGTATTTAAGTTAATGTACGTAAAGTATTTCTGTCCCAAAAGATTTCCTACACTGGTTTAAAAAAGATGGGCAGAGACATGGATGGCTTCCCTTTGGCACGGCATTCTTTCATTTAGACACTTCTATTTTTTGCTGGAAGGTTTCCGTCCCAAGGAATAAATCCTCAGCCATTATAGCTGGAAAAAAGCTGTCAACTAAAATGTAAACAACACAGTTTCAGCCTGCCAACGGCCCAGATACATTTAACTACTCCCAGGAAGCTGTTCCACCCAAGCATAAATATGCTTGGGCAAATGAGTTTGAAAGCGCACATCCAGGAGTCAGAAGAGAGAATGGAGGGAAGGAAGGGGCATAGACAGTGAGTGAAGACCTAAGATCAAGACCACAGAGTCACCAACTTGTTTTTAAACAGAGGTTGCAGCTTCATTCACCAAAATGCTGTTAATGCTGAGGTAAGATGGTAACAATCTGCCTCAAGCAGCTTTAGGTGCTCAATTTTGGTACTGCAAACTCAGAATAACGTAGGTTTGAAGAGACTTCTGGAGATGTTTTAATCCAGCTTCCTACAGCCATTCAGAGCAAGGTCTGTCCAGCTGAGTTTTAAACATCTCAAGGGAAGAAGGTTCTACAACATCTTCAGCAACCTGTTTCTGTGTTAGACCATCCTCACAGCCAGAGATGTGTTGGACCATCCTCAGAGATTTGTTGGACCATCCTCACATGGTCAGACATTAAAGAGATGAAGCTATCCTGCTATAGGTCAATTTTATCCACTGACTATATAATCACTGTTTTCCATTAATTCTCTCATTCTGACAGCTAATAAAAGATGCAACTCAAAGGACTGGAGCTAGAAATTTGCACGTTGCTTTTACTGCATCACTAGTGGATAAAATCTTCAAGCAAAAACCTATTTGCAGAATTACAGTACAGGAGTTACTGTGTCACTATGCTAGTCAGGTTACCTATATAGAAAGAAGGGGTGGCAAAAGAAAAGTAATGGCATTTACTGTAATACAAGTCTCACTCCATCTCATCACAAGCAGGCTTTGGAAGACTATCACTATTTTCCTAAAATTCTCTTAAGTACCTTTCACTGTTCAATTAACAATCTCCACTATTAGAAGTACCTTTCAGAATCTGATGTCTGAAGTCTTCCTACCAAGGTATAAAGAGTCTGCAATATATTCAGTAGTGTAGCCTCATATAGTATGAAAGAAACATACAGACTAATTATTAATATATGGACAGAAATGCCTTTTTCTCTTAAGAAAAGTAGTCTTTATATAGAAGGTATGGAGATGAACTGGTGAAGGCTTGCTTTACCAAATGCAGGTAGGAGGGCTTGAATCACTTCCGCTCCCTATTTCCACCTGCATTTTCAAGTCTGAATGATTTGCCCAAATCCTGAACAATTTCATTTCACAGAATCGTTAAGGTTGGAAAGGACCTTTAGAAATCATCTAGTCCACCACCCCGCACATGCAGGGCGGGGGGTTTTCCTCTTATCAAAAATGCAGTTTACCAACCTTTACAAACTCTGCAAAGGAGATGGCACTGTCCCCATCTTGATCAGCTTCCTGGATAGTCCTGTCAGCAATGCTGCCCAGCTGCTCATCTGAAATGTTTACACCAACCATCATCCGTAACACCTAAAAAGCACAAAAGCACCCAGATGTTTAAGAAAGCAAAAAAACCCCACCAAAACACCTGATATAGTAATAGAAGAGCTTTTAGTGTTGTTGTTCATGGATTTTGTTCAGATAATAACTCTATATAAAAAAAACTCAATAGGATATTCATGGAAGTCATTTCTATTTGTCCTTGTACATCAAATCCTCCAGAAAGAACAACTTCCTTCTGTAGCTATCTTTGAGGAAAAAAAAACAAACTTTTGCTTCTTCAGTAGGCAATGGAACAGATGGAAGAATTTAGAAAGCATCCGGAATACGAATGAATCATGTTTTGTTCTGAAGCTTTTGTCTCGCTCACAGAACTTACTGATGTTTCATTTGGGTATCTACTTCAAAATGTTGCCGACCGGAATCTGGTAAGTATATGACCAAATGATAACTGTCATCATTATGTACATTTAGGAAAGGTTTTTTTTTTTTTTTTTTTTTGGTGTAGCAGTTAAGAGGGCAGTTTCAGTTGAAAGCAAATCCTTTTCCTGCATCAGAAACCACAAATTGCCATGTCTATTTCCCAGGATTAGTACCATGTAATTACTCCAACTCTAAGCCTAGTTTCATACACATGCAGCACAGATGAACTTTCATTACCTCTGCTGCAGTTTCAAGAAGCTTTAACCTACTGAGAGGACACAGAGATCACCAAATGACCTCATCCACTGTCCCTCAAAAATCTTGTTAGGAGCAGCTTTAAAAATTACAGGATGTAGTTCTTAAGGAACTTGATGTATTTGCTGGATATTTATGCATCATTTGGAAAAGTTCCATTTACCCCAATGCTCTAACTTAAATCTGAATCTAGCACCCTCAGTCTGATAAAACAAGTCTCAGCTATGAAAGGTTAAGGCTTTCTAGCACATCTAAAGCTTTGAATTGGAGATAAGCAACTAGGCACCAATTTCTTTCAGGAATTCTCTGGAGAAGATGGCTGGAACTCCCCTCTTCCCTCTACATAGGTGTGAAGTGACAAAGAAGGTCGTGATTGAGTTGTTCAAAGCAGGCCCGTGCTATTTACCTGAAGAAGCTCATCCCTGGAAATCTTGTCATCTTTGTCTAGATCATATAATCGAAAAGCAACTACAGGAAAGAAAAAAACAAGCAGTTGAATTTGAATGCCATTATTTTTCTTCATAACCACATATCTATATATTTAAAAAACAGCAGCAGCCATTCATAATACATTTTAAAAGAAGTATCTTAGAACTGACTCACCATAAAATTCCTGTTTAATTCCATAAAGTTTACCATAGATTACTGTAAGATTATCATATACAAAAATAATATTATTGTTGATTTAAAAATCTTGAGTACTCAATGTGAGTACTTACAGAAGAATTTCTTCAAAGCCCTGAGCTATGGAAGTGTATTTAGTATATATTCAACTTGAATTTCAGATCCAGACGTGTTTGTTTATTCTTCCTTGATTCTCTTCTAGGTGAGGTATGAGAGAGAGAGTTTCGTCCTCAGAGGACTCTTGTCAACTCAGTTTACTGTGCAAGAATTTTCTGCTTTTACACTGCAGGCAGAGTGCAGAATTGCCAAAGAAAGTACTCAGTGAAAAGTAACTAAACATGCAGTACTCTATGACATGAAAGTCCAGAGAAAAGCCCATTCACATCTGACACATGACTTTGTAATCTAATATAGCTTAGGATAGGAAATATTTTTGAAATCTAATATAGCTTAGGATAGGAAATATTTTTGAAAACACTTGTGTCAGGAGACCTCCTAACTCAATAGCTTCAAACAATTCCACAGATTTCCAGAGACAATTCATACCTTTTGCACTGCTGACATTCTGAACAGGTCAGCTTGTAAGTTTATAACAAAAACAAAACAAACAAACAAGACAACCCACAATTACATTTCTACAGGACTACCCAAGAGAACCTTCACTTCTAAGGTCTTTCATTCCCTTCCAGAAAGGAAGGAAACAAAAATGTGAAAAGTCTACAAACAAACCAACAAAAAAAAAAAGGGAAGTGCTTATATAGGAAGGATCCCCATTCTTACAGTGGAGCTTGTTACTTCGGCTGTTCAGTGGTTCTGGTCCGTTCTGGTCTTTGCTCTTTTCATTATCTTCTATGGGCCGGAAGTGGGCTAGAGTCCTCATGAATCCACGGAAATTCACTTGGTCCTCTCTGCATAAGTATTTCAACAGGTCAGTTAGTTGCAGCCCAGCTTATTTGTATTCTTTACTTCAGTAATGAACACTCAGTGCCTAGTCTCAGTGCTGTGCAACCTCTTCCATTTCCCCTTCCCCACAGTCTGGTTGACTGAGCTCAAAACAAGCTGCGGCTGCAATGTAACCTGGCATCAGACTGCTGTGAGGACTCATGTATGGAGAGAGGAGGGAGGGAAATAAATAATAAATAAGCTGTGAGAAGTTTCTTTTGTTTGTTTTTTTTGTACAGCTCCCCCCTCTTTGCCTGAGAACACTGTTTAAGCTAAGATTCTCACTGTTTGTCCTTGTCCTTGCCAGAGCAGCTTTACAGCCAGGCCTGTGCTTGGCCATCTTGCTCATCTGCACCCCGAACTGGACACCCTTGCTTGACCTCAGACTTGCTTCATCACTGTGGACTTCTCTGACAGCCACTGGACTGTGGGCTCGCCTCAGTTACCAGCATGGGACGTGCTCTGATCTTCTCCTTCAGCTACTGTGCCCTTTTGTCTGCGAGGGCACTGCCCCTACCAGGGCTGCTTGGCTCTGGCCTCTGGTGCAGCCCTGTCTTGCTGCTCCCTGACAAACTGCTCTTTCCTCCGGAGCTCCGGTGGGAACAAGCTATGTGTACGCTTGCCAGAGCTCAGGCTTCCCAGCCAAGAAACCCTGCCTGGTATTAACCTGTATGAGGTGCTCATTAGATGAACTGTGTGCCATCAGTCACCAATGGCAAATGTGTTCAAGAGCAATAGCCCATTCCACAGAATAATCTAGATTAGCTGTAAATGTAATGAAGGAAGGTAGTTGACTCCAATTTTGATTGTGTCTTTGGATTTGTGTAGAAAGTGTCATTGCACACAGGCTGTCAATAAACCAAAATTTAACTAAGATACAAAGAAAAACAATATGAAATAAAAAGCTGATTTAGTAACAAAGGTACACTTAAGGCCAAAGCGTGAAAAAAAAAATCAGGATTGAATCAGTTAATTTTAATGTCAGCCAGCAAAAGACAGCATTGCTACAAGTTACTTGAGCAAATAAAGTACACAGATGCCCTGGACTTTCTTTGAAGTTGTTTAGTAGCATGGCAAGAAAAACAGGGCAAGGAAAGGAGGGAATAATACAAAATAAATAAATAAGGAAATAACAGACCTCTTCACGGAATAAGGCTCACAAAACAATAATTCAGGTTGGCAAGTATCTCTTACAATAAAAGGAAAATATGCAGAGAAAAATGATGTACCAAGCTCATGGCAAGGCGAGCAAAATTCAAGTTCTGTGCTTTAATCACAGGCCTTTCACTCCTATGGGAACTTCTTGTGAATGATAAATTTTGTAACTGTTCACCAATTGAGTCACAGGAACTCACCCTTCTGAAAAAAAGGCATTGATAATCCTGTCTCCCAGTGGATTGATGGCAAGCTCTGGAATCCGCTGGAAGTCTTCCCGGCTAAGAAAAGCAAGAACATAAAAAGTCTATATGAAGTTAAAGTCAAAGCAGATAACATCACTTAAAAAAAATAAGCCACAGGAAAACATTTCTGTATGGTTTTATTCGAGCAATGAGAAAATTGCTGGAAAACATAATTCTTTAAAACTATTTTCTCTATTACTAATGGCATAAAGTTGATCAGAAGGCAATACAGAGCCTAAATTATATTCTAGACTATTAATTTACCTTGTTAACAGTATTATTCAATTGCAAAAATTGTCTGTGCTAGTAATCTTCCTAAAATGATGCTGATAGTTTGCAACACCCAAGGAAACTTCTGATACGGTTTTGTATTATAGATAAATGAATTATTTTTGATAGGTATTTGGGAGTCAAATAATTTGAATTAGAATAATTTTTTCCAGACTAGCTCATTCCAGGTTCTGAAACAATACTGTGTGAATGCCATGTGCTCCAAACATACTGTAGTTGACCTGCATACTGAGTACCAGTATATACACTTCAGATTAGCATGACGACAGGGTTTCTTCTATCATTAAGAACTGCACTTATGGTTGTTAATTCCTTTCAGCTAATCAGAATATCTATCAGAAGTGGCATAATCTTGGTGTATACAGGGAAGAACTATGGGGCACAGGGTAAATTTTTCTCAGTGAAGATTTCAGGAAAAAAAAAAAAAATTCTGCACTACCAACTTACCAGTTAGTACAAGACTCATTCCATACCCATTTAAACTCATAAAAAGCAAAGAAAACAGTGATTGAATAAGGCTGTAAAAGCCTGTAGTCTCAATATGTATTATTTGACATCTCCTGACTTTTCAGAAACACCTGCAATTCCCTTCAGGTCAAATGCAGTCCTGTTTCTGAAATTTGGTTCACAAAGTCTCAAGTTTGGTTGTTAAAAGCTCAATACTTTGTACATCTATGCTCACAGCAACAAGGTTGAGAAGTTGTCCTTAAGCAGGGAAGAAAAACAGAAAAAAACAAACACTTCCCAGAGTATTAAAGTATACTGTGCTTTTACAGTACTAAGACCTCAAAGATAGGAAAAGGTCTTCAGGCAAGGTTCAGCTAACTCCCTTTTGCATTATTCATCTAGCTTGGTATGTTCAAACTTTAGATGCAGCCTAAAGCCCTCTCTGTACCCCGCCACACTATAACTGGGCCTCTTAGCAATGCTAGGGTGTATCTGCTGCAACACAGCTGAAACCATTTGGCCTTCTAATATAGAGGGACCTGACCACACTTTTAAGCCATCTCAGAGAGAATCACTGCTCTGACCATGTCCAAATCATTTCAGCAGAGCAAGTGACCATCAGCAGAGCATGATCAGCCTGTTATCAGACTCTTCAGGATGGCTGCATTTGAGGCCACAGCTGAAGGGCACCGCGGGCACTGGCTATTTAGGCAGGAGATGCAGTGATGTGGAAAACCTGTGTCCTGGTAACTCTGCTTTAACAGCAGGACTTCCATGCCAATGCTAACATTTACAGGCCAAAAGCAGCATTCCATTTAGAACAAAACCCTAATGTTTAAGCATTTTTTACTTACATATCACTAATTCTTAATATTGAACCTCAAACAATTTACATCCAGCATTTCAGCCTCTTGTTGTTCTGCTCTATAGCAGGAGATTAACAATTAACCATAAATAACTCCCCAGGTTCCAAATCTATTTGTCCTGTCATTATGAGGATTGCAGTAGGCCATTTTTGCTTGTTAAGAGCACATTATCGAGTGAGTGTTATAATTGAAATAGCTGCAACAGTCATAAAAGTAAATGAATGCAGGATGTAAGTTATTCTGGACTTCATAAACCAAGGCTTCCGAGAATCATTAGAGACCAACTTCACCTGGCTCAAGCTGGAGCTTACAAGAAATGTGATGCTCTCTACTTCTTCCTCGTTCATGTGCCATAGCAACAAGGCTCTTCTAATGAGATCCTTCCTGGAGGCTGCCTGCCATTAAATCTTGCTCGAAGATAACATGCAAAGTAGTCCTTAACTGTATGTTGTTATTATGCAGCCGTTTCACATCCGTGCCACAGCATTCAGGCTTCCTTTTGCAGTAAGGAATTCAGAGAATCTACAAGTATTTCTAAGCACAATGATATCCTCTGAGGTACAAAGCAGACCCCTAAATGAATGAGACTTTGCCTAATTATAAATGCTGCAAAAGGACTTACTGGCCACTTTTTTTTTTTTTTTTCCTCCTGTTTGTGTACATGTCTTTTTCTAGAAAACGCTTGAGGAACACTGTTCATTAAGCAGGAATAAGAAGTGTAAGGCCACATAGAACTGAGGAAAGCAGGAGAAAATAAATCATGTGCATAACAAAAAGTCTGTCTGAATAAACAGGAGACTAATTACTTAACATTTGGAAAGAAAGAAGTGTAGCAGTGGTAAAAGGTGATAATTAGAAGAAAGTAATAGAAAACAAAATAACGGTGGCAATAGCAACAACAAAACCCAGTATGAATAAAAGAAAGCACAGCCAAGGAGGAAGTGTAGAATGATACAGCAGTCAGTCATTCACTCAACCAAACCATATCCTGTCTGCCTAGTCTATTTTAGGTAAAGCTAAAGGGAAGAATTTTTTTTTTTTTTTAAACAAAGAAAGAATTCCACATTAAAAGAGAGCTAGTTTGTATGCTTTACTTGGAAAGCCTGCAATGCAGCTTTAACTGTTAAGAATGAGCTTAATATTTGTTCAAACTGAAAGCTAACTGTTACCATCTCTCAGGACCAGAGACTTGAGAAGTTCTCCAGGAGACATTCTCCCATGAACAGCTTTCATAAGTGCGAGATAACCAGGAAAACCTCTATTGTCCTTAGGTAACACTTTTCAGAATATTTGCCTGCCTTCCCATACCCATATTCAAACTAAACCAAGTGCTGTAGAATATAAAAACTAAACAAAAACCTTCCGAATTGCTTCACATTTCATTTCTTAACTGTGGAAGAAGCCATCTTAAGTGGGAGGCTCCATGCAGAAGTTGCATAGTAGCAGTTTAAGCAATTATCTCCTCCTTTTTATAGCTCAGTCCATGACAGTCGAGCACTACTTCCCCATAGGAAGTGTCTAAATTTTGAAGCAGATGTAGTATGTGGTGCCATGGTCACTGGTACACTCTGGTATCGGTCTTCCAACAAGCCAGACAAGATGACTCCCTGGGACTTATGCTTATACGCAGATCCTGGCACACGCTCCAGTTTCCTCATAAGGGAAATCAGAACGCAAAGGACAAAACATGCACCCTGTTCTCCTGATGAAAAGTTAGCATTTAAACAAACAGTTAATTCCACAATCCATCTGTATGCATGGATGTTCAAGCGCAGCAACACTGTTTCGCAAGTCGGCGTGGCACAATATTGATAACTAAAGTGCTGAGAAGATTTTCAGTGGAACAATTTCATCAGTTTCGTCTTGGCTTCAAGAAGCTGGTTTCAGTCAGATTATGCAAGTATAGGAATTTATCCATTTCACTTAGAAAGGCTGAAACAACAAAAGTAAAGTTTTTCTACTTCTTTAAAGAATTAGTAGCAGTTCCATAGCATTTCCTAATGTAGGATAGGAGTTGCGAAGAAAAGAAATATTAAAGCAACCAAACAAAGCACATAAAGTTCTGCCTCCACCCATTCCCTTCTCTTACATCTCATTTATGTAGCTCTATAGTGTTGCACAGGCTCTCACTCAGGCATAAAAAAAGATAAGTTGTTGGTACCCTGAAAATACACACAAGTACACTGGGTACAATCCTCTAAGAAAGAAGGAAAGATTTCCATTTTGGATTATATTTCCAGAATAAATTACTTGACCTCTCTAACCCCTAGGATCTTCTTCATTGGATGTTCTTTGCTTTGTCCTTTTAAATACAAAGGTAAGAACAAAACAGTCTCCTCTGGTCTTAGAAGCAGTGCTCCATATTTAAGGATGTAATTCACACCATAAGCAACTGCATAATAAATACTTCTTTAAGTCACGGTCACGAGTGATTTTTGTCATTTATAAGTCAATGCCGTAACCACCCTTATGGAAACGACTGCTCTTGCTCACAGGAAACAAAGAGAACACATTCCTTCTAAATTGTTTGATGGTAATAAGCAGGTGGTAATTGAAACAGGGAGAATCCCTCCCTTCCCATCTCTTCATCTTGCTGGTCTCAAATTGGCAAGTTTTCTTTGATCAGCATCTGAGAAACCATCATTTACAAGTTTCCGATCTGCAGTTCTACCCCCTCCTCCCTACATTGTTTTATCAGGAAGTAGTTTTCCATTACTTAGAAACATAATGATTGTTTCCACATCTTGCAGGAGCCAGGACAGGATTCAGAATCCAAATACCACTCCTACGTCTGTCACATTTGGGAAAAGGCTACACTTACAATCTTGCAGGTTAATGGATCACAACTTGATGGGATTTTCCACACTAAGTTCATTTCCTTTCCAAGGTACCAAGTGATTATCAACAATGAAAGTCAAACTCCTCCTGTCACACAACACTATGAAACCAAACATTGTGCAACAGACATTCATACCATATTTAATTAATTATTCCTCTTCTTAAGTAAATTGAGCACAACCAGTTCAAACTTCACGCAACTTTTATGGATTTAGTGAATGCATTTAAAGTTGGAGGGAAGAGGTAAGGAACAACATGTACCTAAGAAATAAGGTTCAAATGGAATTCATCAGCAAACACTAAACCCACGTGTAAAGATTTAAGAGGCTGTTGGTGTTCTTGTGTCAAGTAATTTAATGTTGAAACACAAGCAGTAGTAAAAAAGTTATTAGCCATTCTAGAACCTTTGTTAGCATGAAATAAAACTGGTCAGTTAGCCAAGTAAGACAAAGGTAATAGGCTAGTGCTAAAAAAAGTAAGTTTTCCTAAAGAAAACACACTTTAATCAACAATTTCCTTTGACAAAGCAGGGACTGACTTCTACACTTTCAGTGCAGCTTTCACTGAAAAGATTGCCTTAAATAAAAAATAAAAATTAAGTCAGCAGTTGTACCACATTCGTTTTCATTTCATTTAGTAACTGAACATGCCCTTGCAAATTTCAAATATAGAGCGTGCTTCAACCCTTCAGGTGGCTGCAAAATGAATCCCTTCAAAGATATCTATAATCTTTGGAAGACTCTCTCAGGAAAATTCGAACAAAGTAGTCAAAAATTGAATTGTTCAACAGAATGTTGCATAGAATCAGTGACTAGTTTTTGCCAGATCTGATCCAGGTTGTATTTTCCAGACACATCCCCCTGCCTAGATATCACCAGGTAATCTGTATGTCACAAGAGCCAATACTATAATTTAAATGACACGCTGGCTTCCGTGACAGAGCTGGCTTGAGAAGTTCCTGCCCAACCCATCCAAAGTCACCCGTTTCCTCACCTACCATCTAGGTTTTCGACCATCCAACTACACCAGGCCAGATATTTATGGGACAGCCATGTGAGCTGAATCAATGGAGTTGATCGGGTTAAAAATACCTATGCACATAAAGGAGAGGCTGGATGTAGAGGGTTTTTTTTTCCTTAAAATAATAAAAATAACAACTTCGTAATACAGTATAATTCCATAATCATTACTTAAATGTAACTGAGAAGTCAGCAATTTGTGGCACCACAAGGAGCTGCATAAAGTCTGCAAAGAAAGCTGCATGGAGCCAGCGCTGTCTTACTACTGCACCTTCATCTTCTAAGCAGTGATTCTAGTTGTTTGGGTTATAAGACATTCTGGGATCACATTTTACAAGGTCTGATGATACAACTCAATTCCTGAATCTTGCGTGTTACAGCAAGATCCCTTTTCCCTCCCCACTCTGTCATACAGTCTTCCAGCTTCTCTGTGCACTGGTGCTGGCATATGTGGCCATATAGTGAATGCAAGAGAAGGACAAACAAAATGCCAACAAAACCAAACCTCAAAACTAATTGGGTTCCTTTTATCTTGTTTTGCTGGGCAACTTTTCACCTAGATTATTTTCCGAAGACAAGCTTAGATCACTAACATCAAGAGAAAAATGCAAGACAATTTCAGTGGCAAAAGGGTCTGAAACCAGGTTATATTGGTCACAAAACTGTACCTTCAAATGAATCATAGGTAACTTTCTCGCCATATTTTTATATTATTAATTCATTTATTGCAATAGGTAGTCTCTATTAAAGAGTAATAAGCAACTAAATGCAATCAGAACTCCTAACAAATTCACTAAATACAGAGCAAAGCAATACCAACTTCCAGTACTATAGCATGAGTGGGGAAGGCTAGAAAAGAGATAATAAAAAGAATATATTTTAAGAGGAATCATCCCACTAGGGTCTCCGTTTCATTTCAGAATACTTTCCAGCAGGTTCAAAGCTTCAAAGAGGAGGAAGGAAGTCTTGCAGATAAAAAATGAGGCTTAAACTTTTTATTTACCTGATTGTTTAAGCTGTAACCACTGTAATCAGTTCATTTTGGCAGTTTTCAATCTCTAGTCAAACAGTTTAAAAGATTCAGAATACCAAAGTGTCAATTCAGATTGTTGGCAGAAGACAAACACATTAAAGGACCTGGAATATGCTAGACCTTTTCAATATGATCTACTACTTTGAAGAATAGAATGTGCATTTGTTTAGTCACAGTGACGTGGTTAACAGCTCACACTTTTATTAAAAAGAAAAAGTACTGTTAGCAGACATGACTGTTCAACAAGAGGTCCAAAGTTAGACTTAAAATCAATTCTGACCTTTCTTCTATTAACTGCTACAAGTCATTAACTCCGCAGTAAAGGCAATGGGTATTTAGAGCATGTTTACTCAGTTCAACATTCGGACTTCCCCTTCATAAAAGAGGAGGGACTTGAATTTTCATGCAGACAACAGGTGTGAGAGAATCTGCTATAAAGGCCTCACTGATTCAACGTGTGAGGAAAACATATGCAGGCACACTGCAACAGCAAGTCACCATTACAGATACGGGTTGCTGCAAGGACCACCAAACTCCCAATGTTACCTACCTCAGAGTGCCATTCTCTCCTTTGTCCAGGCTGGTGAAGCGGCTGTACAAGCGAGTGATTTGACTGTGGGAGACTGGAGGAGGAAAAAAACATAAAACAAAAAAAATACAAATTAGCAAGTCCATCATCCTTCCTTGGACTGCATCTCGTTACACTGCACTACTCGGTTGCAAGCAAACATATTACAAGAGTGCCAAATTTGAACTTGTCAGGAGTGTGGGAAGCAATTCTCCTCTCCTTCATAAGAGCGGATCTGTTCTTCTCTTGGTAAAGAAGCAGAGACAAACAGTAGTGGCACAGAAAAGCTTCTCTGGGAGAGATCTTGTGATGAACTTTCAATGTTGACAGTCATCTTAATCTGAAGAAGGTAAAAATACTTAACAGCAGCTCATGAGAAAGCCACAGTCTACTTTAGCTTCTAGCACGCACCTTCCTAAATCTCCAGCTATTGGTCCACTACTTACCATAAAAGCTATTCACGTGCAAAAGTTCCCTGGAAAGCATTCACAGAGTATTTCTTTCATTTTGCTTGTCTCCACTCCTATTGTCTTTTTCCAGATTAAGAAGTCAACGTGTACTCAGTTTCTACATCTGGAAAGTGATCAGGGAGACTTTATGCCTGAATATGTTTCTTTACATATAGGACTGTCAGAATCTAGGTGTGTCATTAATTTCTAGGTTCAATAAAGTAACTTTAAGACTTGTAGGATCTTAAAGCCAAAAGCTAAAGAATCCCTGTCTAGAAAGGGCTAGCAGAGATTTGGGACACCAAGATGAAATAAGAATACTATTGTAGAATTTTAAGTATTCAATTTACAGCAGACACGCCCAACTTATTAACTTTAGTATAATAGCGTAAATCTTGCCAAGATACTAGATGATTAGATCTTTAGACAAGGCCATGGTGGGAGGGGATGGATCTATCTAACAATCACAATTCTTTTAACACTGCAAATACATGCCTTACAGAAATCTTTGCCAGTTCTCAGCCCCCTCATCTAGCATTAAGTTAATCAATACATTAAGTAAGGCCAGATGGAATCTTAGCATTTACTCAGTAAAGGAGTGATTTTGAAAGGGACACTAAGTACCGATTCTGCTGTACAAATTCAATTGTTTCAACAGCAAAGGCTTTTGTTAGTTCCTAAAACTTACTTGGGAACAGGTTGCACAGCAGTTGTCTGATCTGTGAAACTAAGAAAAATTATTTTATCAGGTTTGTTCTTTCTCCAACCTATTTGCTTAGGTTCAAGTGTTCCCTCCTTTAGGATGACCTGCCAGCAACTCTTTTTTTTCCACGTCTCCCTGGCAACCTTCATTCTCTGCATTGGGTTGGGCAATTTGCTCAGTTCCACATAAGGCAACTTCTCTATGACCAGATTGGGCAGCTTGCTCAACCTCACGTTGAGCAATGTGCCCTGAGAACAGGCAGCAGCATTTTGTAAACTTCTCAGTCTTCATTTCTGATTTAGTGTTTTAAAGATGGTATGCAAATACAAGTGATAGGGAAAAAGGAATAGTTGAGCATTACATTTTGGATAAGTAGCCTTGCACACCCATCCCTCCTGGGAAATAGTCATGGTATTTTTACCCAACTGCTACTTCTAACCTACCAGCAACTCCAATATTGAAATAACTCCATAATAGTACATGATTAATATGAAGCTACTGGCAGCAGATGGTTTTGGTAACATCACACTATATTCATAAGTATATAAGGATATATGATTCAAGTCTACCAATACATTCTTTCCCAATTTCCTTTTGTCTCTCATCCCACATGAAAGCTGGAGCACTTAACTCCACTTTTCAGAGGCTTCCTGCAAGGAAAGGCTTCCTTTCATTATCAGCGTTCCCTGATAATGAAAGAGTCAGAAGCAAGATCGGCAACTTATTACCACACCTTAAACACAAAACCTAAGTTTAATTCTGAGAACATAATTTACTGACAACCTACTGCAGATTATGTGCCAATAAGCAGAGGTTTTACAGGGAAATGAGTTACTTTTCAGTTCTTGGAAACACTAGCTTGATAGGTATTTCTAAGCATACTATACTAAAAAGTCATTTTTTCACCACAACTAAATGACAAGTAATACAGCACTTGAATAAAAATTTAGATTTTAGTGTATGACTTGTGAAAAGTTGCTCCAAATTCCCTCAAAGATCTTTTTTTATCTGCTCAACTAAAAGAACTTTAATATAAGATTAATCACCCCTATTAGTGTCACTAGCTGCCGAGTTTTGTGCTATTTAAAAATGAAACAAGAGCTATATATTTCCATAAATGAACACCTTCCAATAGGCTAAGCGTTCAGTTCATGCCTTCGCACTTATCCCAACATGAACTGGAAAAGCTGTTTCACTGTACGGCACACCCAAGACGACAGACTCCTTAGCGGTGCTTATCAGGCGTTAGTTCAACACGGACACTCAGTCCTGCCAAGTAGTTTTGCTTTTACCACGTCCCTTTCTCAAACTCTTTAGTAGGTGAAGTATCTCCAGCATCAAGTTTCCAACAAATGGCAGGACAGTCTATTCAGCAGTATCAGCTTAGCATTCTTCCTGTGAGCCTCATTACAAATTATCCAGAGGCCCGTTTCCAACCCCTGTCCCCCTCCTGCACCTTGCAAACCTTGTATTTGCACCTATGCACAATGTATGACAGTGCTAAGTTTGGTGGAATTCTCCTTTAACTACAGAACTACAAAACAGAGGAGAATCACATTCCTAGACTGGGGAAACTGGCTGGGGGCAGATGAAGACTGATGAAGCCAAAAAGGAGACTTTCTGTGAGAGCTTGCAAACCGCCATGAGAACATTAGCAGCAATTTATTAATCAAGTTGTAGCTTACGATCCCATATACAAATGTGAATAGAGGAAAACCCAGGCAGATCAAGCAAATGGAGGTCACAAGGCTGAAACCTGCTGGCCACAGGAAAGTTTAGCACTTTGAAGATGTAACTAGAGGCTAACTAGAACAGGACTCTACTGGCTCCAGCCAGGTTTATCGCTCAGCTCATCTGCATAGCCACCCTACAGGTATTTACTTAACCACCAATGGTCTAAAATTCTAGGAATGAAACACCACAGATAAATAACAGGAGCACAGAAAATGAAAAAGTTAAAGCTTTTGGAGGAGAATTCCAGATTTGGGGGTTCTTATTTTAAACTTCTTTAATAGGAGGCTACCTTTACTCTCTCTCTCTTTTTTTTTTTTTTTTTTTTTTAAGATCATATAGCAAGTTCTTCGTGGATAAGCACACTCGAACTCCTACTTGTTTATCACAACACTCCTGCAGAAGCCTCCCTTGGATGGAAAGGAGGCATGGAAAAAGGATCATGGAAAGCACCCTAACTCATACCGTCTTGTACTCTCTCTATGCACTTGTGTCCCTGGCACAAATAAACTATCACCTAAAACAAACACATGAAAACTACTACTTAAAATGAACACATGACAACACTTCCACTGAAGGGGTAAAAGTACTTCCAGATAACAGAGAGAGATCAGGAAATAAGCGTGATCCGGGAAGACCTTGTTTCACCAGAGGAACAGAAAACAAGGAAAAGAGATGGCAGCAAGGTGGCACCTAGGATGTCACGACCTGGTCTCTCCTGCTCAGTGCCATCATGCACCACTATTTTCACGCTGGCAGCCACCCCGATCACCCAAACCAGCAAAACCCACGAGGGAGCTTTACCGTGCCTCCATCCTGGCAAGGAGCAGCTCTGCACCGTGGCCCACTCGGGGCAGTGCTCTCCCCTCCTACCCAACCCTCAGAGCTTACACTGCTTCCTACGCGCCCGAAACGCGGCTCAGCCCCAATATCCATCCGCAGGGCAGCTCCGCCGGGAGCCTGGACCTCAGGCGCCACCCGGACACGCCGCACCGAGCGCCTTCCGGGGCGCCCCCCGCCCGACACGGCTACCGGGCAGAGCCGCGGCGGCCCCGCGGCCGCCCCGCGCCCCAGGGCGGGCACCGAGCGCCTCACCCCGGCGCCGAGGCGGCCGCGGGGCCCGGC